AGAAGCTGGGATCCCCTGCCGCTTTCTGGTGACCTGGTTAAAGTCCCAGCTCTTGTCAATAGCTAGTTCACCTCATCTCCTGAGAGAGACTGGAGAGATGCAGCACGCCTGTAGCTACTGCGGGGCCCACGGGGGCCCGGCCCCCTAGTGGTTTTTATAGGCCTCCTTCCCTGAGCCTTGGGTCCTCCTCCCCTCTGATTGCCTGTCGGGCGGGGAGGACCGGGGGGGGGGGGGGCGACAAGAGCCAGCAGCACCACCACAAGAAGCGGCGGAGGCAGCAAGGCTGGGCGGAGACCTGCTTGCTGCCCGGCCTGCCAGCAGCAGTTAAGCTCAGCCAGGCAAGGAGGCAAGCGGGCGCATTATCTGGACTGGCACGCCTGGCTGTGCTCCTGTGCACCAATGTGCCCACATGCCACCCCTTCGTGGGCAACCCAGCCACCGCACACCTCGCCTCTCCTGGCCCCGGGAGGGAGCCAAAGGATAAGGTCAGGCTGCCCCGGAGGCGGCAACGCGGGAAGGAACACTGGTGCTCCTCAGAAAGGGCTTGTCATTCAACTTCCAAAAAACAAAACGAAAAAAGGCCCTGGAGTTTTGCCACAAAGTTAGCGGGGAGCCCTACTCCGCAAGCACGATCAGCACGGCACAGGAAAAGTGGGATGGAGATTGTGAGATCAGGGCAGGCAGAAAAAATGCCACATGGTTTTGTAACTTTCCCCAGCCATGCTCAGATCTAAGGTTGAGATGGAACAGGCCTGCTTTGACCCACTCTGCCCACCCACTCCTAGGGGCTTGCCAACTCCTGGAGGGGTTTACCGCTTTCTTTCACGAGGGTGTTCATTGCCACCACCTGTTTGATTTAGGGATTTCCCACTGGGAAGGACAAGACTCCCAGTTTTCCCTCCTAGTTCTGAGGCCTGGCCTAAGTGTCTCCCACTACCCAGCAACCGGTTACCGGTTACCATGGGGACCAGATACTGCTTTCGGGTTCCCCTGGGGAGACAGCCACGTGCACACTGACCACTTTCCTCCCAACCCAGGGGCCCCTCTTGCACTAGCATGTCCAAAATAGAGGGGGAATCTTAGTACAGAGACTGAGAACCAACCTCATGAATAAAAAAGGTTTATTGAAAATATTTACAAGCATCCTTCAGAAGAAGAAGAGGAGATTGGATTTATACCCCGCCCTTCACTACCCAAAGGAGTCTCAGAGCGGCTTACAAACTCCTTTCC